AGCGGGCAGAGAAAGATTCCGTGATCTTTGTCACTTTCAGACAGACTTTCTTTATTTTTATCACATAATAACGAAATCTGTTCGGAGGCCAGTAATGCAAATACGATAGCCCAAACTCGTATTCCTTCCAAGCCATACCGTTGTATTCCTCAACTCGATGCAGGTAATTTTTTCAAGTTGTTTATCTTGCATTGTCCTCAGTGTGACTATCAGAATGTACTCGTCCCAGTCCTGTCTCCTTTCTTCGGCCATATGCTTCAGGTAGGACTTCCTGACCAGCTAAAGGTACTCCAGTCTCGTAGCAGCAAAACACAAACACTTATCCCATCAGAAGGCCGAGAAAAGACGTGATCGGTGTCAAGCGCAAACCTGAAAATCAAGAGCGGCTCTGTCTGATTGGCTGATTAATTAGCTTAGAGCCAACCATTGAACGCGGAAGACGAAATAGAAGCAATCTTAATGATTTGCTAGCTTTATGCACTGCTGCTTAATTAGTCGCTAGTTCTCTACTAATTTACGGAAATGAAAAAAAAAAAAAAAACCGGATAATTCTTGAACGTTAAGCGTAGAAGTCGGAAGTGTACTAAAGCATTATCAATATCTGCCGCTTTCATTCTTTTCTCAGCACCTTGAAGAACAGTGGCAAATAGTTAGACAGCATCAAGCTGTGAGGTAATTGTAACTTTTTCTATATACACGTCTAGTGTATGCTGTACGGAACTATTGTAGCCACTAGCTGTGGCGTCTTACACACACCCCTATGTCGAGGATCGCTTTGGTGTGTTCAGATTTGAAAAAAATAAAAATAAAAAAAGCTGATCATTAACTTGGATCCGAAGCATCGACTGTCAAATGAGTTTCGTACAGCTTGACAATCTTGAAAGATTAAGAAAGATTTTTTCAACTTTGATACTCAATCATCACTGATCTCTTTGCTGTTTGGTGTTTCTCTGGCAAAAAAGGATTACTTAAAGGTTTCATTCCTTTAAAATAAAAGATTCTCTATGAATCTTGGAATTTAAAAAACCAAACCAAAACCAAAAAGTAAAGGTGTGACGAGGCATTTTTGCGATGTGGAAGTATTACGAGTTACAAGGTATTTTATTTCATATGCAAACTTGCTGAAAGGTTCTCTTGTGAGTTCCACTCTGTATTTTTAAACCCACAGTTCGCAATCGGCAAATGAGGAAGTTAACTTGGAATCAAAAGAGATTATTGAAGATCAGCTGGTGTCAATCATCAGCAAGGACTACCTGGATGTTTTCAGTAAGAGCTGATGTGGTCGTTAATTTAACTAACGTTAATGTAGTTACTTTTAATAAGCTGTCTTCTTTATTGCTTGGCTAGCCAGCTTATTTTTCAATGCTGACCGCATCACTGAATTTGTGTTTTTCATTTCAGCTCTGGCGTGTATAGTAAACAGGGACAGCGATGACTCGTCAAGAATGGAAGTAACAGAGGAAGAGGAAATGAAAGGTAACCAGGGACCAACGTAAATGTTTCATACAAAATGCAAAATTTTAAAAGGCTCATAGATGGCCCATTGTGGGCTGCGACTTCGCGAAGACTCGTTCCAAGACGTTTGTACATTGTTTTGCTTTTTTTTTTTTTTATAGGTATAGATCCGTACAATGCCAGCATGGGATCACTGGGATTCATTCTTCTTAGAACAGAGGTAAAAAGGAAAGTGCATTTTGTGCGATTAGTTTGTTGGTGTTATTTTTTTTAACCATTTCAGGTGAAATATTCCCGGCAATTAACTTAGAAAAAAACCGTGCTCGGAGTTCTCAAAGGGACCACACCGTGATAATATGAATCGTTTTCTGCCGTGTGCAAAACTGCCTTCATCGTGAAGAAAAGCAAAAATATTACCAGAAAAGGAGAAGTTAACCAAGAAAGGAACGAGGATATTCAAAGACGTGAAAGATAGTCTCGGATTGTCAAAGACGAACGTTTCGAATTGAAGTTGAATTTTTCCAAAGTGCACTAACCATGACCTTCCTCTTATGATGGAGATCTCTCTAAGAAGGGAATTTGTATCCCTTCCATTATATTCCGCTTTATCTTACCACAACGCACCTTAAAATACGACCGTCTGTGGGTGAATTAAATATTTGGGGTTTTTATTTGAATTTCAGAGTGTCAACATGCAGATGCTGATTACAGTCTTTGCCTGTATGACGTGGCCGGACTCCGCCGTCTGCCACAAGGCTACGCGACTTGCAATGACTTTTCTTAAAGAGGTAAAGCAGCCTTCTATTCACAACAGGAGTGTGGTATGTAGGTGTTGGGAATGTTTGTGTCCTCTGCCGTTACTCGTTGCTTCTATATGGCCCCTTGCAGTAGAGAAGTAAACGAAACCAGGAGTACGGTTCTTCGTTGGCTATGGGAGTATATTAGGGTACACGTATATGTCTGTAGTTGTCATAATCACGGGGACACTTGGATACCAGTATCAGAAGCATAAAATTAATTTTTCAACGGTATCTTGGACAATGATTTCAACGTTTGGAGGTCGAGATGCTAACCAGGCAGACTGGCTCACGGATTGCTGACTCTGTAATCGAACAGTTGTTCTCTCAGGTCTTAAAGGTGTGCAGTATTTGCTAGTTTGGATGATTTTACAGTAGAAAAAAAGGGTATTCCTTCTGTATAAACAATCATGGTCAAAAGTTCTTCAGACATTTCGGCAAAAGTGGACGAAAACACACGTGCTTTTCGGCGTGCAGTCTTTTTCCTTCCTCACTCGAAGAAGGGCTAACAGTAGAATCGTCATTTTTATAAACTCGTAGCAGTGGCTGATTTATAGTATCAACTCAGTCGATAATACCAAATTAAAGTGTAACACCCCACCTCTCCCTGCCCTTACGCGGCAGCACCACAATTTCTTTAGAAACCTACTCCCTCCATACACTAAATAAGCCAGAAAACAGTTTCTATAATACTATCATGTCCAGCCATACAGAAGCAGTTTTGATGAAAGTAATTTGCATTTTGTTGAAGGGTCTTCATGTGCATGGCCATGGGTCTACAGAAACTTACCTCACTTACGTTGGACAGAACATGTACGAACTTCTGGTAAGTTTTCCTCTGGTGACATTAACACCTTAAAATTGGAAAAACAAGTCCTCATTTGACGACGAATCTTATTCCAATTTTAATGATTTCATTTACAGATCAATTATTCTTTTAAGGTTAGCTTTCCGCATTGCCATTTGCTCTCAGGAGGCGGGGGGGGGGGGGGGATATGGGAAGTTGTCTCGAAGGGTTCCGGAGGTATCCTTCTTGTAACTAGCAACCATGATTTGTTGTAGCTGAACTCTGAAAAAAGGTTGCTTGAGAGGGCGCTCCACTAAGGGCTCGACATGTTTAGGTATTGGGACGCTATTACCGCTGTATTCTTATCTTAATTAGCAACTCCATCCATTGGAAAACGTCGTCTCTATGTTTCTATCTGAGAACTTCTGTAAGTGCTTTGCTTGTAAGCTCCAGTCCTTGAACTCTTTTTAAACGCAAATCCTACGCAGGAGGAGTAATGAAGGCTCAAAATTAAGATCACTATCACGGGTTGTAACTGACGTTTCTTTTATCGATCTTTAGAGAAAGGTTTTTCTTATCACTTGTTTTTCTCATTTCAGAGACCTCAGTACTCATCTCTCCAACAACTTCTTCTTCAGACGAACTGCTCCTTGGAAGATTTACATGTATGTTAAATTTTGTGTTGGTTTGACGAGTACAAAGCTTGTAAGGTTAGATTGCCTTTCATTAGAGGTCTTTGTCTTTGAAGAGAACGTCAAAAATTACTGGTGTGAAACCGAAAGTTTAGAAAAAAATGGATAAATATCGGCGTGTACTCGGGCGCTCGTTAAAGTAAAGTGTAGGCACAGTTTTCACACGTCTTGTACCACCAGACATTCTGTGTGCGTGTGGAAGGCATGTGGAGAGCTGAAGAAAAGCTTGTGAAAAATGCCAAATGTTCCTATCACACAGTGTTTTCACATGCTTTTCAGTAAGCTATTGAAGCTGTATTTATTGTCTTTTCAGGCTTTTGAAGCTTCTTGTTTTGAAGGAAGAGAGGTTCCTGAGAAAAGGAAGAAAGAGCAGTTTAAAAAAATTGTGTCTGGAATTGTTGGGGTGAGAAACTATCCAACGTCTTGGTTTTTCTTTACCGTCGTAATACAGAGCCATGTTGTGCAACACTTCTAAACGGTGGTACTGCCCAAAAGCTTTCATTTTAGCGGCACTACATGGGAGAGTTTCATCCTCAAACTCGTACCCAATCTGAAACGAATTTTTACAACGTACTTAAGTACTGAAGGTTAGCTTTCATTTTGAAGGAGAACATCTTTAGAGTCAGTACATTACAAACTATTTCGCCTAAGTCTCTACCACCTTTTGTGGGTTTGTTGTATAGCAATAGATCGGTCATTCAAGATAATATATCTGCTTTCTTATTATTATTCAGAAACACATCGGCGAAATGTTCAGAAACGAAATCAAGATTAAGGATCTTCCCCCGATCAAGATTAAAACCAAGCCAGAATCCAAAGGGTATGAAGATCCTACAGGACTCGCGGATCTGTTTGATCCTTCAAAGAGCTCGGAAATACATTAGCAGAGGTTGGCTCCGATCTTCAACAACAACAACAACAACAACAACAACAACAACAACAACAACAACAGCAACAACAACAATTACAGCAACAACTACTACAAAGCAAAAAGCTGGAAAATACGAATTCGATGAAGCAGATTTTCACTTGACAAGGCTTAAATTTGTTCAAATATTAGATGGTCCAACTTTTGTACTCTGTGGTATTCCATCAAAATCCGCTTTAGAACTTTTGAACATAAAGCACCTTAATTTTTTTTGTAGTACCTACAATGTTGGCTTTAACGCGTCCACAACGATTGAGATAAAGGAAGACTACAATTTCTCTATTTTTCTTCGATGGCGTCTTGAGATATGTTATTTCTTTTATGCCTCGATGATTTGCTTCGTTGCTTTTGTGTTCGTTTGATGAACCCACGGGCTTCTTTCGCTTACTTTCACCCGTCTTTGTCTCACAGCAGTGGGGGTGACCAAACAAGCTGGCAGTAAAAGAGGGAATCAGAGTAAGCATAGGGTTTCAAGCCTCTACTCTACTCAATAGCCCTCGATCTTTTCTCGCCCTTTTGTGACCCTCTCACTGGCTCAAAATATGGGAGTACGTAATATTTCATTAAACTGATTTAAGGAAAAGCCTTCCCAAGGAAAGAAGGGTGGGTGTCACTGCAGCGACTTGCGCAATTTTTTTTCTATACCCAATGACTTAACTCACAGGTCCTTTTGTACTTTTGTTCTTTCATTCCTTTCCGGAAACGGAAGTGGCCATAGGCTGGGTTATCCGGCAGCTTTGGTGAGTTTTAGGGAAGAAAGCCTCTATTAGATACAAGGTGGGGAGAGTGAAATAGATCTTTGTGATTTTGTCTCCGAGTAGAATGGCCTTAATTGGATGGTTTCAAATATGTTTCAGCCATTGTGAAGTAATTATAGTATGTTTCATGGCCACTTAAATTTTCTTGTTTTTAGTCCTATAGGACTTTATAGAGGCGCCATTCGAAACTGTCTCTAATTGCATCGATATGTTAGAAGGGTATTTAATAACTTTAGATCACTACTCAAATGGTTTTATTACTATGAAGACGTTCTATGAGCGCTTTTCGAAATTGTTATGAAGCTAGATTTAAGGGTGCTGGTATCTCAGCGCACAGTTGGATCGTTTCAGTTGTAGTAAGGGTAGGGAGGGAGTTAGAGTTACTGCACCAAGATGTATCCCATGGCTTTGATGTGCTTACTTCCATTGTCAGAGTGGTATGTTGCTTCGTTTCCGCAAGTGTTAGAATCATCTTGAAATCCTCCTGTTCCAAATCCTATTCTAGAATCACAGTCGCTGCACGCCTCTTTATCGTTACCAATGATACCAATTCTCGCCTTTGACGCTTTTTGGTTGCCACACACAGCATTGAACCCTTCTCTAACACAGCTAGTCTGCAAAGAGGCGTTTGAGGCAATCAGCGATTTCCAAGTGTTGAGACCTAGTGACGTGTTGCGATATTTCCCGTCAGCAATCAGTGAGTGTAGAGAGACAGCCTTCCTATTGATGACGATGAACCTAGTTTGGTTATCGGTCTTCATGCCTAGACAGATCTTCTCGAAGGGTGTGTTCCAATAAGTTGGTAACTTGGTCTCATGTGAGTCAAATCCAGTCTCACCTCCCGGAAGATTGTAGGCAGACTTGCTAATCCAGTGGCTTGAATTATAGTGGAAAGTCACCTGGAAGAGATATTAGCGCACCACTATAAACTTATCGTTTGATAATAAGCAAACTGGAATTTAGAATCTTGTCGTTTTCCCGATCTGATCTATTGCACGTCAGACCATGCCTCCCATTCAAGGAGGATGTATTTATTGCTGCCCTGCTTTTATTCATAGCCCTTACTCGTTGCCGATCGTGAGAGGCTGTCTTAAAGAAACAGATATATCTTGTATACCGTCCACAGCAAGTGCCCGAGATCGAAACGCAATGTCCACTGTCACTACTAATGTTGCTGCTACTTCTTAAATTATTATTATTATTGTTGTTGTTGTTGTTGTTTTATGATGGAAAAATCATGCAGAAACCATCCCCGTGTAGCAGAACGGCCAGGCATAATTTCAGCAAATAGCTTGTTTTTCCAACATGCATATAAGATTGATCAAGACAATGACTTTTCCTAAAGAAAGTACCTCTCTTGGCGGCCATCTTTTTAAAATCTAATGAGATATTGAACTTCAGTACCTGAAGAGAGCTAGTCTATACCTTGTTGCCATCAGTTTTCATAACTGGAGTCCATCCTCCATCTCCACAACCAAAATTTGTCATGTGACAGTAAACAGAAACCGGGTTTGAATCGTGGTACAGCGTCACTATTCCACTCACGTTCGATCTGTCGATGACACAATTTCAATCTCTAAGACACATGACGCATGTGTCTCGAGTGACGTAAAACCGAATTCAACGTGATCGGAACGACCAATCACAACAAAGCAAAATATCACTGGGAGCCAAGAAGTGGTTTTGGTTTTTGGAACGATTGGTGCGAGATTTCGGACCAATCGCCCAGCGAGGTAATGCAAGATCAAACCAACCTCGGATTACTTTCGTCACTCGAATGAAAATCGTTCCATTCAAAATGGAAAGATTAACATTCTCGTATTTTTTATCTTCATGAAGAGCAGACCTTTGCGGAAAAATACGTGGGTTTCCAATTTTCTAGGTTTACGATTTTCTCTCTCTGAAATGTGATTTCCATTTATTCAGGGATTATTTTGGAAGAGAAAAAAAGGGGTCTTAGCCGAAACTACCAGCAGTGCTTGATTTTTTTCCTCACTCAACCTTTTACGAAACTCTGTTACAGTAATAAACATCATTATCGGCATTATTGCTATGGTTTTCCTTATCGTCTACCGTTGTATTGTTGTTCTTACCGCTTCAACCCCTACATCTTGGTCAATTGATAAGACCTTTACATCCAAACTAACGTTGACACTCTTACACCATTAATTAAAGTGTACATGTATTCATTGCTTACATATTCTTGGCGTGAATTTCTTTGCACGTCGATACTGCCACAGAAAAGAGGCATCATCGTTACAAATGAATTTAAGATCAACACAGCTGAATTCACAAATGATAGAGATAATCCTAAGGTATCTAATGTGTTAAAGAAGCACCGCGGGTCGGCGGCTTCAACAACTAGAGTTAGAGTGATTGACGGGTGGATTGTTTTGCTGGTCTTTTGATTGATTGAATGTTTGAGGCATTGGATATACGGATGGGTGCTTCTTTGGTAGTAGCGTGACCGAGTCGTAAGGGCTCTGGGCCTCGTTGTATAAAGGGCGGATAGCGCTATCTAGCGGATAAATCGCTCTCCGGCGGATAAATGATAGCAAAACGTATAGCGTTATTCACCGGATAGAGTTTTATCCAGTGGATAGTGTTATCCAACCTTCGAACCACCGGGGCCTGGACTTTTGGCCTGGGTTCCTTCGGTCGAACCCTTTACCGTGCTACCCATTGGATTTGCCGTTGGCCCCCCGATTTTAACTCCTTAGTTTCGCTGTATATATGGCCAACTGGGTTTCCTAAATACATTTCCTGGTATCTTAGTAGCATTGTTTATCTGCTAGTTTCTGTGCATGTGACTTATACATTTTTGTAATGCTGTGAAGACTGGCGAAAAATTACCATTGCAAGTCCGTCCATCTCCAGAATATCCAGGTTTACACGTACAGTGGTACGATCCCTTGGTGTTATTGCACTCTGCATCAGCACTGCAGTCGTGTTTTCCTGCAGAACACTCATTAACATCTGGAAAAAGTTCAGTTATTCTAAAATTTACAACGATTTCCAAACTTTTTCTATCCTTACTAGTTTACCTGGGAAACGCTAGTTAAGGGCGTGAGTTCACCTTCGCAAGTCCATCCATCACCGAAGTATCCAGGTTTACAAAAGCACTTGTACGATCCCCTGGTATTGCTGCACACAGCATCAGCACTGCAGTTTTGGGTTTCAGTGGTTGAACATTCGTCGAAATCTTAAATTTTTAATCAGAGATATTCAGTGTGGGAAGTATCCGTCAAGAATAAGGACATATGTGCCTGTACATGTAAATGAGACTAAATTGATACCTGAATTTCAAAGAGTGATCACCACGTAGCTTTTCCACAATATCAGCAGGTCACGGGTAATAGAGCAACAACAAACACGTATTCAGTTGTCATATACAACGATAGTTAATTTACCTTCACAAGTTCGTCCATCTCCAGAATATCCCGATTTACAATTACAGCAGTACGATCCTTTGTTATTGCTGCATACAGCTTTAGCACTGCAGTTGTGTTTTCCTGCAGAACACTCATCAATGTCTAGAAGCAAAGGTTCCTCGTGTTAATTTAGAAACATCAACAAGGTTTTCCTTGATTGAGAGCTTTTCATGCTACCCCGTATTGCCTTCATTCGGAAAATTTTAAATATGTTTAATCCATAAAAGCGTGCAGAGGCGTACCGGTCACATGACTAGGTTTAAAAATACTCCGTAACGCTCCTTACTGCAGAAAGCAGGGATAAAAGCAAGAAGTTTTTCTGCACTGGGCTGTTAAGAGTAAACCTCTCCCCATTACGCCCGCCCAATACCTCTCTCACAATGTTCTCCGATGAAACCGCTTTTGCATACGCATTTGAACGTCTCTTCATCATTGAAAGCCACGCAAGTCCCTCCATTGTGGCACGGATTGTTTGAACAAGGTGACTGAAAGAGCAATGAGTTGGTAAAGGATTAAACTCACGATGCCTAAGCTGGCTAGCACAACCACAACAAGCAGATCAAAGTTACAATTATTATTATTATTTAAGCGAAACATTGATTTCACGTGGCTCTGCAAAGCAACATAAGAGGAAAGATTCATTTTCTGTTTATTACTAAGTAGTCCTTACGATGATGTAATAATGATGTGAACTCTTGTTTTGTCTGAACTCCTCGGGGTTGCTGTCCTTATCAGACGATAGTAGTTCACACCACAGTCCTCCTTCAGCGGCCAGATTCACAGAAATACATGAAGGATGGTGAAGGCATTTGAAGGTGCAGTCTAAGTCGTCATACACCATAGGCGCTCCAACTTGAAGCACGTTCAAGTAATGAAACTCGTGTACAGTGAACAAACGTTCCCTTTGGTTTGTGCCTTTGTCGTCCAAAACGTTAATTTCTGTTGACGAAAACATCAAATACCTTGGTTAATCTTTTCTTAGGATGTACTTGTAACATTGAATGCTGACAAGATTTCCGCGCTCGAATACTAACCTTGATGATTTAATGTCACAATACATTAAGCATGAAATTGTAAAATTTCATTAGATACAACTATGTTGTGTAACCTCCAAAGGATACTAGTTTTGCGGAGAAGACAATTCGAACGCACAATATAAATCACGGTGTAATTAAGTGAGGTACGTAATCAAAATTACAAACGAATTAAATAGATCTGAGTGAAATCACAGACGAAAAGGGCGAAGTATAGATGGCAGGTAGCGTAGTTATGATCGGTGGCTGTAGCTGAATTTGTGTTGCTAAATTTATGTGGCTGAGTTCGTGTGGTTCGAACTAAAAGAAAATACAGTAGAAGCTAAACTAAGAAAATATCTCTGAGGAATGTAACACTAGCCTAATAAACAATGAAGCGATTATAAAGTGAACCAACAACGAGAAATAAACCAATGTACGTATAAAAAAACAAAACAAAACAAAGCAAAAGATATCTCAACTGTAAAATAAAGAGAAACTTATTTTGTTCTAGCTCCACATGATGTAGGTAACTCGCTAATGGCAGATGATTCGTGAATAGCAGATGAAGTTATAGCGATGAAATATGAAATACAATATCTGGTGTATACGCTTAAATGAAACTGATTGAAACAAGAAACTTGTTAAGTAATACTGTAGTATCGAACAACAACAAACATATGAAACATATGAGTGAACTGCGGTTATGAGACGTATATAAGAACGATCCTTCGCAGTAAAGCACTATTTGAGCAATAGTGGAAATCAGACCTGAAAAAAATTTCAGGCCTGTACGGGATTACTATTGCTCTTACGGGAGCAATTCTCTTGTGTGCATGCATTGATTACTATTACATCAATCGCCTTACCTCTTGCCTTACTTTCATAAACTCAACAAATTAGTGACAAATTTAAATGTAGCACATGGAAAGGCTGTTTGAAAGATGACGAATCAGTCTAGGCACTAACTCAACGGTCAGCATGGTTATATTAAACTTGTTGGCCCTTCATTTAAAAGGCGACTGTTTTCTATTAATAACCATAAACATAATTGGCTGCCCCGGCACGTAGTTTAGATTTCTTGTCCAAACAGCGACGTAAAGATATTAAGATGGGATTTCAAAGGAAAAAAAGTTAGGATTAAATTACTGTGGTAATTACCGCTTAAAAATATTGCTCTAAGTGGTGCACTAACACACGCTTGGCAGCTGGTACCATTTCAGCGTTCTACCTACTGTTCGAAGTCTGAATTCTGGATTTGAGATAGGAAACCCTAATCGAAATAAACATCGATTGCAAAGCGAAGGTATTGGTCCAGTGTAAGGTGCTTATTGAAGTGTGAGCTAAACTGGAACTGAGATAAATGTCGGCTTTCATTCATGCAACAAGTATTAGTGTGCGAGACTTAGATGTTTTTTCGCTTCCCTACCGTCTCCGCGATTGATTTCCTCCTCGTAATTTTAAGAAAAAAAGATATTGTAAGAAATAAAAAAATCTTTAGTTTTAGAAGTTTTCGTTAGAAAGACTTTTATCTACCTCTTTTTCACTCTCTGATATGTTCGAATTTAACGCCTCTAAATATATAAGTGAAAAAGTTCGACTAGCACCGAAATTCTAGCACCAAAATCATAATGGAAGAAAACAAGAAAAAAAGGAAGATAAAATCTGCTTTCAGTTTTTAAATTTGCTTCAACGAAGGGCTATCGCTAGAAGCGTCAGCTTATCAAAATTCACAACAGCTTATTACCTTCCCTTATGTTAACAGATGAGAAAAAATCGAATAGCTTCAGTTCACTGCGGACTCCCGACTAAAAGTTCCTTGAGCAATTTAATAACATTGTACTGAATCTAACCTTTTGAAGTGACTCGCCTGGGTGTTATGGAACATATCTCCAGTAAAAAAACATAGATATATACAGAAAACATGGCAGAAATGTCAGTTGGAGAACTGTGGACCACGTATGCGTATTCCACAAGGGTCGCTGAACTCAGCCAACCCGTAGAAGGAATCCTTTACTTAGCAGAAGGTTCTTCGTTAGTGATAACAAGAACCTCTTTTGTCCTTTGTAGTCCATTAAAATCAACGAAGGCTTGCTTAAGCCCTTTTTGTGTCACTGTACATTATGATCCCATAGATGAAGGTTAATTTGTTTGTTTAACTTGATGTTCCTGTCGCTGCACAGTTTGTAAAGCGAAGTATCCGGTAAAAACACAGTTCTATTGACAAAGGGCCTTACAGTAAATGCATTCTCTTCATTAAACTTGCCTTGTTGCATCATGGGAAAATGCCGCTTTGTTTGCGTTCACCAGACTGTCAAACATTAACATCCCAGATAAAGATCAATAAGTGAAAGAGAAATTCCCCCCTGTAAATGGCACGAACGGCCTTTTTCTCCCTGCTTAATCTTACCTTGCTTTACGCACAGCGAAGAAAAAATAAAACTAAAATGTATAATTTGAAAAAAATCGTTTCTTTCCATTCACGCAGTCTCACGATACGCTCACTCGAATAACGTGCCATGCTAAAAGCTGTCACTTTGAATGTGACTTGCAAATTAGGATTAGCAGAAGATCTTTTTGTACTCTGGTATACAAACTTTGTCTGAAATATGGCCCATAAAAAGGTTTAAGAGCGGCCGTCCGTAAATATCGCCCGGAGGTGCGCAATATGAAAAATTCGAAAATCCCCAAACTTTGCCGAAATAGAGGTCTGGATGAACTATTTCTAGAAAAAATACTTTGAGTTCAATTGCATTTTTATTGTTCGCGAACGGCAGAAAAATCGGTTTTGTGGCTCTTACGTCAGCTTCATGACTGTTTAGACAACCATTATTTGAACGTCGCTTGAAAATAAACAAAAATGTAAATGTGACCAAATGTTTTTCTAATGAAAAGAACACATAATTACAAACAGTCTGAAGTGTTCTTTGTTCGATTCCTTTGCAATCTAAATTTTTGGAGAAGTTTTGTTTTTTTTCCAATATTTCACTCATTTTGGCGAACAAAAAAATAGCAATATCGAGAAGATAAAATCGCACCTTGGTACACTGCATGGGGTTATATTAAGTTAATCCAGCGAAAGAACAAGGTTTCTTCCTCAAATAATTCTAATAAAATTTTTGGGCTACTCAAACGACTCGAAAAGTACGGTGGCTTCAAAAGGACATACACTTTTCACTCTCTTTTTTTTCACTTGCGACTTAGCTGTTACTTTCTTGCGACTTAGCTGCGACTTTCCTGCTACTTTCTTGCGACTTAGCTGCGACTTTCTTGCTACTTTCTTGCGACTTAGCTGCGACGTTCTTGCGACTTAGCTGCGACTTTCTTGCCACTTTCTTGCGACTTAGCTGCGACTTTCTTGCTACTTTCTTGCGACTTACCTGCGACTTTCTTGCTTCTTTCTTGCGACTTGCCTGCGACTTGCTACTTTCTTGCGACTTCGCTGCGACTTTCTTGCGACTTTCTTGCGACTTAGCTGCGACTTTCCTGTTACTTTCTTGCGACTTAGCTGCCTGGCTACCTAGCTGGGCCAAGTGAGACCCAGGCCAGGTTGCACTGCCGAGAAACAACATAGATGCTTTAGAGGAAAAGCTAGTTCCGGAGATGGACCAGGTATTTTGACACTTTCTCCTGTCGTTCGTACAGAATTCATTACGAACTGTTTCCTCTACTGGACGCGAGATTGTGGCGCAGTTAAATTTCATATCTCAGATTGTGTTTCCACACTTTCCTTACCTTCTTCTTACGTCTGGTTTACTTTCGAGAAACCTTTGATCATCTAACTTCAAAATGGGACGGTTATTTGTGCTTCATTGGGAATAGTTTTGACCCTTTTCATAAATGGCTGCCAATTAAAAATCTTTTGTAAGTATTAAAACTAGCCAGACTAACCTCGGTTTTAAGTTAATAATTTGAAAGAAATTTTACTCCCAAACGAGTTTAGTGAAGTTAATTTCATTGCATCCAAAATAATTTTTAAATTGGCAGCTATTTATCATTCTTAGAGTCCAAAGTAATTGATTTGGAAATAATTGAATGAGAGAAAAAAAAAAATTTTGAATTTAATTACTTCCAAATTGGACAAGCATGTAGTCCTTTACCTACTAATCTATGTAACATTCCAAAGTAGATGAACATGATGTATGGCAAATGTTGGGTCTGATATATGGGATGTACATGTACATGTACATGTTGAACGTGATATACGGCAAATGTTGCTTGTCTACATATGAAATTTTTCTTCTTGTATTTAACTCGAGATCTTACTTGTTTACTGCTTGATGTATTGAGTTGAACACTTGCAGAGAAATTCCGTATAAACTCAAGATCTTATTTGTTTGCTGTACATGATATATTGAGTTGAGCACTTCAATTGAAGAGAAATTCCATATCTGTGTACATCCATGTTTTATTCTCTATGTATCTGTTGCCATTTTTTCCTTATTGTGTTTCTTACCTTAAGAAATATACCCATAGGACCCGCAAGTATTTTATGCATTTTTTTTTCACAGTTTACGTATTCGTATTACACCTCAAGTGGCTTATTTTACTGGAATAGTTTGGCTCCATAGTGTTCTCTAAGATAAGCTCCTTTTTCCTTACTGCAGATGGACTTTACAGCTGTGAGGATGGCAACAGATGGAGATTTCCAAGCTCTTGGTTCGGTTCGCCGAGGCGACATACTTGCACTGAGATAAAAGGGGCAGTGCTGCACATCGCAATAGGGGATTAATTATTATATTCTTTTTTACATGTCATTCATGTCTACTCTAATAGGTTGTGTTAACGTAACACTTTTAAAACAGAATGGAAAATAGTTCGTTACCTGCTATTTACTTTGCTGTTCTACCTTGTTGAGTTCATAGATTTTGAATTACCAAGTCAGATGATCTCTTTACAATACACTGTACTGTAGAGAGTGTGAATGGTGGGTCAGGCAATTTCTCTCCCCTAAAGGTGTGTAGTTTATGAATGAAATTAATCCGTTCTCTAGTTTCAAGTGTTTAAGTTCCTTTCCACATTTAGAAAACATATTGGAAACGAAGAAGTAATAAAGTTGATTTTAATTATTATTTTCAATTGATTTAATTGCGTGGCTCGGTATCCAGCTACAAAAAAAGATAGCGGCATTAGATCTGACCAACAATAAATACCTTGCGATGTACATTTGACCACGCTGAATATTTTGCGAACCTAACACAGCCCCTTAAGAAACCGCATAGAAAGCTTTGTTTTTGAGTGTACCAAAAACACTACTCATGATGGGTAGCCTGCGAACAGGAATGAAATTCAACCATTCTTTTATGGTATGGCATTAATCTGGTCCAGCAGATCTAAGTAGAGTTGGAGAGCTTCCTCTGCTGTTGTAGCTGGTTCTAGACCTTCATCCTCCATGATTAGATCGCAGAGCTCTTTTAAAGTATAATACACCGCGAATGCCTGAAGTTCTGTTTCATGGATGTCATACAAAGTGAACTACACAGAGCTGCACTGGAATGGAATTTTCACCGAATTCGGCCGTCTAGCAATGTGGAATCTCCGTCGGGAAAGCCAGATGTACTCTACTTCCTTCCGGCATCAGCTGAGGGTCAAGATTATATGATTCCTGT